ATATGAACCCAACAGCCCAGAATGAATCTAGATATCTAGTAGTGTTTGAATTTTATTTTATTTTTCCATTGTAGGAAAAATCAAGCGATTCAAATTCTAACTGCCTAGTTAAACCCAATTAGATTAGAATTGGGCAGGGCCAGTATTGGTGAACCAACCGGGTATTTTTAAAAATTAAAGAATGATTACATAAAAGGGAAAGTTTATATAGAACCCAGTCTCTAAACAATCAAATTTGAGCCTACATAAAAAATTTCACTAGAAAACGTTGTTTCATGCCCAAATATCCTCAAATTGATAATCTCGACATCAAAATGCATAGACATAAAAACAAAAAAATAGATTTTAAGTTTTGGAAATAGGATATTTTGTAATGCATTTTTGGACCGTCAACTATCAAGATTTTCACGTTTTCATAGATTTATCGGTCTACACTAGTTTTGAAGCATTGAACTTTATAAATAAAGATGAAAATATATTTTAAGGCTATCACAAAGATTTTCAGTATCGAAACCACATTTCTTGACACTATTTGAAAGTAGGCTCTAATTTGATAGTTTAGAGCCTAGGCTCTATACAAACCGCACACTTACATAAAATCCCAAAAAATAAGGGATTTTGTTTGTAATGTACTTTTTAATTTTAATTTTTTTAATCATTTTGGCAAAGTTTGGAAATTGTTTTGACCATTAATATCTATTTTTACATTTTTCGATATTTATTGAAAAATTTCAAAGTACCTTTGGGCGCAAATCGATTACGTGAAATCCATTTTTTTCATTAATTTTCACCTTCATTTGAATGTGTTTTGTTTAATTGTGCTTTAAATATGCTTTTCATATTTTTCTTATTTTTTTATATTATGTTTATTTTATTTAGCATTTTTTTGATCGCCCGGGACTTGTCCAGTTAGGTCGGTTGAACCACTTTTGGTCCCATGTTCGATTAACCGTTCCGGTTTAATTTTTCTTACACTAGGACAACCGAACTTGCGTAGGGGTCTAGACTTGTAAAATTGACATATGAATGGGGTTAGGTCATTACCTAGAATTAACATGGACACGTTAGGGTCAGATCTGGTCCAGGTTGGTTAGACTCAAATTGATGTATGCATACACAAATACACATACTTTTTAATATCTTTACCTAGCACCTGTGTATCGCCCTATTCTCTAGATAAGGAAATATTAGCCTCTACGTCCCACCCTCTCTCTACTACTTTCACATTTCACATGATCAAAAGTAACTTTCCTATAAATTCAATTGAAACCTTCCCATCTTTGAAACCAATTTCATATCTCTTACCATCAAGCCTCCTACCTAAAATCTGGTTACAACATATAGAAAGAACATAAAAAGTATAAAAAAGAAAAAAGAAATTCTTATTTGGGATAGCAAACTTATAAGTGTCAATATCCAATGCATCAGATTTAAAATTATTGTCATTGCTCATAAAGATGACATGTTCTCTAGCTTTAAGCTCCTTAAAATTCATAAATCTCTATCTGGGCCTGGATATGCATTTAATGGTCTCAGTATCTACCACTAATTATCAATAAATCCATCAGCGATCAAATAATCAACTACAATACACAAGCAGTCACAACCTTAGTTTAGAGCGTTTGTTGCTCCTTTGTTTGGGAGCTGAGAGCTTTCGGTGTTGGTGCTCCCTTGTTTGGAAGCTGAAATATGACGTATCCCACAAAGGTGCACCCTTGGGTTCATTACGCATGGATTTCTTTCTTCTGTTATTTTCTTTTGAAATTCTGCCTTTTTTTTTATTGGTAAGGTTTTCTTTTATTTGAGTAATCTCCATTTTGAGGAGTTGTAGGTTTGGGCAGTGAGAGTGCTAATGCACTTCTTGAAGATTAACGATCCTCTTCATATTTCAATTCACGAACCGGGTTTTGAAGTGTTAGATCCTTTCAATTTAAATATAATGTAGTCACAACATATTCGTATGAATTTGATGGGAGTTCCCACCCTGGGCAATTATAATGACTTCCTCCGAATCATAAAAGCTAGGGTCCTCCTTTAGGGCATCTGCCTAGTGGAAATCAAATATCAAAGGCTCTTGGTATAAAAACTCTGGAAATATGCTTAGAATGGCCAGAGGGAAGGGATTGCACATGGAGGTTTAGGTCGATTTTTTCATGAAATGAGGAATAGAGAAAAGGAGACAAAGGCCAAGCCTCTTGATTCATTTATTGTATAGCACCAACCATAAGTTCAACGAGTTACAGGTTAACAGGGTGTTATGACTCACCCGAGTCCACTCGGGACTAGGCGAGTATCTTGTCCTCGACCCGTTTTCTGGAGTTATACGATTGTTAAAAACGATCAGTATTTCTAATTTCAAGCTCAATAGAAACACCCACAAACACAGTCTTTTGCACACTAAGAAATCTCTCTCTCTCTCTCTCTTTCTCCCTCTCTCTCTACTTCAGTAATGTGAGGAATTTCAAGACAAACATAACTGCATTTTTGGCTGCAAGGGGTGCAAAAGTGGAGGCCTCATTATTTGTGGAAGACTCAGCACCTGCAAGGTTGGACACAGCCCTAAAAGCAATGAAAGGGAGATCCTCTTCAAGGCACACAAGTGAGACTGCAGCCGTTTCTTTGTCCACCACACTTGCATGAAACCTTGAGTATAAGAAGTTGGCATAGGCTGTATTATTGATGAATATATTGGAACTGCTGCCTCTGTTCACTAATCTCACTTGTGGAGCCTTAGGTAAACACATATTAGACCTCAAGCACTTCTCTAGCTCTAGTCCCTATAGAGAGAGAGAGAGAGAGCAGGGAAAAGTGAAGTGAGGACTTATCTTTAGAAGCACATATATGCACATCTGATGAGATTTAGGGCAAATATTAACATAAGTAAATGTATACAATGATACCATTTATTTTTTATACAAAGAGGTCACAATCATTACTGGTCATTAGATTTGAAATTAGATGGTTGGGAATATGTTATTGATTAGGTAAAGAGTCTAAAATAAAATTTTTCGAATATTGTGATATACTAATATATTGGGTTTCACATCCAATAGCTAAAAATAATTGTGACATCGTTGTATTAAAAATAAATGGTATACGTTCTCTTAATAAAATAGTCAAACCACGTCAAAAAACTAATATGGTCGTTACGTTAACTAATTCAACTAACAAAAAATTATACTTTAAAAAAATAATTTCCAGTAGATACCTCCTAGGAAATGCTTGCCTTCAAGTGGGACCTAATTACCAAAATTTCTCCATATAAGATTTTTTAATGAACTCATATGTTTTGTTTTTCAGTTTTAGAACTCATAACAAGTATGGATATTTTGATTATTTGGCGAAAGTGACTTAAGTAGTTCAAATTACCAAAATACCAATTTGTTAAGGTTTATAAATTCAGTAGCGCACCTTCGGTATTTTTAACAAAATTCTTAAAAATAAAGCTAAATAAAAGATCTTTCAAAATGTAAAAACTTGATAAAAGTATTGATTTAACTGCCTGATTGACTCTTTCGTTAACTTTTTTTTTTGGGTAAATCTCTTAAAATGAACTGAAACAAGTAAACAATTTTTACTTACCTTTAGTTTCCCTGAGATTGAAATGTAATGGTGGTGAGCAGGGATCCAAAAGACTTGCTTGTCTGGCTTATGTTTCTCAATTTTGGGAAATACATCCTCAGCCTCAAACCACACATTATTCAAAAGATTGTTAGCTGAGCTAGGCTTGTTGAAGGCCGCAAAGTGAAGGTACTGAGGCCTCTCACAGTATTTGCCAGAACTTTGATTGGAGGATTTTTGAGGACCGTCCCCATACCTCTGCAAGATCAAGAAAAGTAAATAAATAGTTTAGAACACATATGGTGTGAGCATATTATACACCTATTCCCTAGGGCATAAAACTTACTTGGGAGGACTTTTTTCAATAGAAAATTTTTGGGAAACACCTAAAACACTAAAAACTTATTTCCAAAATTTTTTTTTTGAATTTTGAGTTTTCTAATGCTTAGATCTCACCCTCCAAAAATTGGATCGTCCTTCCTCAGTCTTGAGACCTGATATTTTTTTTGTATTTTTTTTTAATTGTATAAAAAGTGAAATTTGGAAAAAAGAAATATTGAGGCTAGTCTATGGGCTGAAGAGGTTCATCGTCAAAATGTAGGGCCCTAAAAATCACTCCTAGATTGCGTTTTAGCCGACGGAGTACATTGATAGTATATTTCCACGGGAGCATGAAATCTTTTGGCACTCCCTCCCTATCCGTCACAATACTTGCCCTCGCAGTTTGTACCATATTATTTAGGACTTTTCCTGTATTTATAGATATACTCAACCTAAACCCCTTAGCTTTAAATTTCATAATTGAAGTAATTATATTAATAATACAGTATTAATAATAGAGTACCTGCCAATTCCAATTCCCTGTGTGAGCCCAATGATATGGCACGACCACATCTCCAATACGGAGTCGATGCGACACACTCCCACCCAGTCCACAGTTGATAACGCCTTTAATTTTGAACAAACTCGTTAACAGTTTTGTGGTAACGCCTGTATTAAGCTGCATTAAAACAAGTAATCACACACATACAATAAGTTGCATTAAAACATGTAATCACATAGATGAAAGAGGGAAAGAAATATAGTATAGAGATAATTAATTTATGAAATTAAACACCCATTATCACTTGCATCGAGTTGGTAATCACCGAAAACCAATGTTCGAAAAATCAAACCGGCCTCGGAAACTGGACAAGGGCCAAGTAACATGTAGACCGGCAGCAAGTCCAAAAAGTATTAAAAAATAAAAAAATATTAACAAAATCTAAAAAAAGCAAAAAGTATATTTGCAGCGTGATGAAACAAAACATGTCTAAATAAAGTCGAAATGTAGTGAAAAATGGATTTTTAAAAACTGATTTGTGCTTAAGGGTAATTTTGAAATTTTTTAAAAGATGGAAAGTGTAAAAATAAGTATTCATAGCCAAAACACTTTCCAATATTTGTCAAAATGATAAAAAAAAAAATTAAAAAATGTATTACAAAGAAATCTTTTTATTTTTTGAGATTTTTTTTAAATATCCAGCCAGACCATCAAAACAGTTCAAAACCAGATCTGCCCGATTCCAGTTTGACCGGCTGGTTGCAAGTTGGACCCACCGAGTTTGCGAACAATGGATCAAACTATGGAGAGAGAGAGAGAGACAGAGGTTTTAAAAAAAATAAAATAAAATAAAAATAAAAATAAAACCATATAACATACCATGCCCCTTCCCGCAGCGACCACCGTGACATTCTGCTTTCCAATCTGTCCAATGTGAAACCTTCTCCCTTTGAAGAGAAAGAAGATAATGGATGCCAAAATATTTATAGAGAGAGAGAAAACCCTAAACAACTTACATCAAATATTATGCACCACATCTTACTTCACACTTGCTAGCACAATACACAGTACCATCAAGAAAAATTACAATATGCATAAGACTGCAAAGGGATCTAGAAAACTTGGATCTGAAAGCCTAAGACATAGACCTAACAAACACCTAGTACCCTAGGGCAAGTCAAGAAATAGGGGTGGGCACTAGGTCTGGTCGACCCAATCCAGGTCTGCGTCTGACCCCAGACAAATCGACTCGATGGGTCTGGTCTAGGTTTGGTTTAGGTCCAATGTGGATCATATGAGGTAGGGTCAGGTCCGGGTCAGGGTTGACCTATATATATAACCTGGTCCTCGACCTTGACCAGACTTGTAGCCTTGCCCAAGTCGAACTTAGATCCCATTGACCTGGACCCGGACCGGGACCCGATCGTTTACATAACTATTAACTACATATTCCCTTACTCTAATTCATCAAGTTCAAGGTGACTTACCTCCAAAATCCAAGTGTGTAACATCATGAAGCTTTTTGAAACTTGAAGATTGCAAGAGGAGACTCAAGTCCACAGAATTGGACACAACCAAGCCCACAAAAGGCCCATGTTCATTAATCTTCATGATTTCATTAGGAAGTCTCCCAGTAAGAGAACAATGATGATGAGAAAGTAGAAGAGGAATCAAAACAACCAAAGGAATGATAATTCCAATCAAGAAGGAGATTATTGGAATCAATCTATGATAGAGAATTTCTCTCCCAGCCATTGTAGTTGCAAACAATGCAAACTAAGAGGAAATGGATGCTTGATGGTGTATATTTTAATATTTGTCTAAATATTAAGCCTTTATAAAAGGGGTAATTTCATGGTAATTTTGGGTAAAATTTTAATTCTCAAATAAAACTCAATAAAATTGAGATTAATTTGTTGCTTCGCTTTTAGGGGGTAAATTCGTTATTGAAAAAAAAAAATAAGAAAAAAGAAAAATAATAAATCTAAAATTCCAAATAAGCTATCATATTCAATGCAGGTCAATCCAATTCCAAGTTTCTAGCAATAATGAGATAAGTGTGGTTTTATGAGAGAGTTCATCTTAACATAAACTATGCAATGATGAGATAGGTATGGTTTGATGAGAGAGTTCATCTTAACATAAACTATGACATAATAATGGAAAACTATGGGTAAAAGTGTAAAATCATGTCACAAGACCCTACTAAGAAAATAAAAAAGAAAACTAAAAAATAAGATTGGCATGTATTTAGGTAAAATAAAAAAGAAATAAAAAGTAAGATTGGGGATATACATTAATATACAATATAAACCAGAGTATACTACGAGTGAGTACTATTTAGATATATACTTAAGTACGAGCCTTAATGCATAATCCTTTCTACGATATGGTTATTGATTATTTTTTTTAATACATATTTCATTTGGTATTATTGAGTTTATCTCATAGCCGAATTTATCTCACTTACCCCAAAATTCTCTCTAAAAAGTAATCATGGTCAAGAACAACGCTGTGTATAAACAAGAACAGAAGATTGCTGGGCATTGGGTTGGTGGCTGGCCCGGTTCAGTCAGCCCAATATTTTAAAACTAGTACATGGGCCACAAAATGTGGTATGAGAGCAGGTGCCAATATGGTCATTGGTTCGGGCTTGGGCCAGGCCATAACCCTTCTCTTTTTAGTCTACTGGTCCTTGTTTGGCTTGACTCGGCCCAGTCTAGATTAAGGTCAGGCTTGGACATTACCCAGTTCCTATCTAGGTTTTTATTTATGGCAAAAGAATTCTACTCTCTCGGGAGTAGAATGTGGATTTACTCTCTAGGACAAAATCTCATCAAGAACTAATTTTAGTAACGCAAATTTTAGGGATGTAACCTCCTCAACCCATAGATTAATCCCAATAATTTTTATTTTATTTTCTCTTATTGTACCTTCTATGCACTCATAAATTAATCCTAATATATATATTATTTTTTTCTAATTGTACCCTCTATTCACTTGAAAAATAATAATTTCTAGAGACCATCCAATTTTTGGATAGTGAGGCCTAAATGATAGAAAACTCAAATTTTAATTTTTTTTAGAATAATTATCTAGTAATTATTAAGTTCCCCAAATTTCAGATTGAAAAAGTCCTCCCAAATAAGTCTTCCAACCGAGGGAGTAGAAATACTCTATGCTCTAGAGAGAGCATAGCATTCGTGCCACTTATTTATTCCCTTTAGTTTATTACTCCTCCCCTAGTCTGACTTTGCACGGCCCGGCCCTGCCCAGGCCATCTAGGCCTGGCATGGACTATGGCCTCTTTAGGCCAATAGTTGCCGAGCTGGTCCAGGCTCAAGACGATCATGGTAGGACCAGGGCTTGGCTTGGACCACGCATTGTTAGACTAGATTTGACATATGATTGTCAAAATCTAGCACATCCTTTGAGACAAGGGAAAAGTTAGGTTCTAAACGATAAAAAAGCGCTCTAAAAAATTTCACTAGTGGAGATTGTTTTGATGCTCAAATATCCTCAAATTTATCATCTCGATCTCAAGATGAAAATAAAGGGATTTCAAGTTTTGAAAATAGTATATTTTGTAATGCATTTTTTATCAGTCAATTTTCAAAAAATTTCAAGTTTTTATAGATTTTGATCTATACTATTTTAAAGCTTTAAATTTTATAATTAGTGATGAAAATATATTTTAAGGTTATCACAAAGAGTTTTAATATTAAAACCACATTTTTAAATACTATTTGAAGGTGTGCTTTACTTTGATCGTTTAAAGCCTTGGTATCACACCCCAAGAATTTTCAATACTGATATTCCTGAGATGTGACAGACAAAACATATATACATCTATTGATAGGACAAATTTACACTGACGAATTCTTACAAAGTAACAAAAAAAAAGCTTAGACACAACTACAATATCTTCCCAAAGTTGATCTTGACGATGACACAAATGAAACCGCAGTCATCCTGAAAAATATTTACCATAGTTTGATGAGTTTGGCTACTCAGTAAGTGATCATCATAATCCTAAAAATAATCATAATTGAAAGATATCAATATTTTCCAAAATGAGATCTATTAACAGAAATGCATCAACAGTTTCACTTTCAATAAATGCATAATTAAGTATAATCCGAGTAATTGAAATGCTTATAACACTTTTAACGGTAGTACATAATTCAAAGGATTTCACAAAATACCCTACTGGCGTCCCAAATAGGTCACCTATATACCCCATCAGCGTCCTGATAGGTCCACTTAATCCCTATCGGCGTCCCAGATAGGTCCACTTAATCCCTGCAAGTCCACTTATACCTCACCGGCGTACCGGATGAGTCCACTTAATCCCTACTGACGTCCTGGATAGGTCCACTTATACCTCACCGGCGAACCGGATGAGTCCACTTGCATACTTAAATTATTT